TCTTTTTAGTGTAAACCAAAATTCTATTATCTATGGTGCCTACTCGCTACTGATTCATTCACAGAAGTCTATCAGCGCCGTTTCATTATATCCAAAACTTCTTGAATTCGTTTCTGGAGAGATATTTTCTTTGTCTTTGTCACCCTGACTGGTGATTATAAGTGCCTAAAAACCCTAATGCGTATTGTTTATAATATAAAGCGCCGAACCTGGGAACATAATTAAAATAATATAATTATTGAAAATGCATACACTTGGTAAATTCTCAAGGGCAGACTGCTACGCAAATACCCAGACCGATCTCATACTGTTCCAATTAAAAAACACACTTTAGAGGTATACTGTCCCTTAGCTCCTCCCCTTATTTTTGAAATCAAATGTTCACGTGCAAGCTGGAAAATTAAGCAAGGCTTCAATCCGGGCAAAAAATCTTCGATTTGATTTTATATATATATATACAGTGGTGGTCGTATAATTAGAAACACTACAAACGGTCTTTGACATTATGTAAGAAACTTTACCGCAATCGTTTTTATTTTGAAATGAAATAATAAATAGGACAACAATAGGTTCAACGATTTATTATTTATTAGAAAAACAATATAAATCCACTACACAAGTGCAGTTTCAATATTACATTACGGACAAACACTTAAATCAGTTTTAAGGTATAAACCTTAGAATAATAACGCATAGAAACCTAGCCCGCACACGCTAAGTGAGGCAAGTTAGAGGGTTCCAAACGCGTCCCAGGAGCGCGCGGGCTGTTAGTGCTCAAGGTCATATTGCACCGCGAACAGCTCCAAAATTTTTTGCTAAAAATGACGAAATGTGCGGTAAATGGGTGTAAAAATACAACAGACAAACATAAAATAGACACTAACATCGCATTCCACAAGTAAGTAATGCGTTTCAACTCATATTTTTATGTAAATATTCACTAAAACAGAAAAATAATTTCGCGGCAACAAGATACGAAAGTGTTGCAAAGTAACGAATTTTTTTTCTCCCCATTTTGCTATTCTGTATCAAAATAATTATATTACGTAAATTTTAGTGGTGCCTGTAATTTAGATTTATTTGCGCATCTTGAACTAATATTTACTTTAATAAACATTAAATGTTTTCGTTAACTCCTGTAAGTGATTGGGACACTTAATTATTTTATAATACTTTTAACGGCTCTGCGTTCATGCTTTATTGAATAATTATTTATTTTTATTTTATTTGAATTGGAGCACATATTGCAACAAATTTACAGTAGGTACTTATATATTTGTTTCTACTATAGTGTTGGCACCACCAGTACAACTTTGATAGCTTATTATATGTCTTTCTTTTCGTAACTCAAGCGAAATATTTTATATTAAAATATTTTATTTTCTTAAAAGGGGAGCATTCTTAAGCGATTTTTTAATCTATTTTAACAGTTATTTTCTTTAATGTTTGCTTATGGCATTTTCGGTTTTAGGTTTCGAATAAGGCACTTATTTCTAAATCCAAGATGGCGGACACGAGTTTTCAAATAAATGCAATATGGGTATCATTTTCGAGGTGTTTGGGAATGTTCAATACAAATATGGGACTCATTTCTAAATCCAAGATGGCAAACACGACAGTTCAAACAAAAGCAATATTCGTAATGAGCACTCCCAAATACCTCGAAAACGATACCCAACTTGCCATTATTTGAAAAATCGTGCCCGCCATCTTGGATTTACAAATGAGTGCCATATTCGTAATGAGCACCCCCAAGTACCTCGAAAATGATACCCATATTGCATTTTTTTGAAAAATCGTGCCCGCCATCTTGGATGTAGAAATGAGTGCCATATTCGTCATGAGCATCCCCAAGTACCTCGAAAATGATACCCATATTGCATTTATTTCAAAACTCGTGTCCGCCATCTTGGATTTAGAAATGAGTGCCATATTCGTAATGAGCATCCCCAAATACCTCGAAAAGGATACCCATATAGCATATTTTGAAAAATCGTGTCCGCCATCTTGGATTTACAAATAAGTGCTATATTCGTTTTTCATCGACAAAACCGAGCACATCTGTAGGCACCTGATCGACAATGTCGGGCAAATCTGTAGGCACCTTTAACTTAATGATGAGTTAAGCAAGATACAATTTCCCCACTTTTGAGGGAAATGTTATTCCATGGCATCATTATTTGTATATTTGTGTGCGTGCCGACGAGCGTAGTTACAAGTTGCTTACGCCTACATGAATTTGGTTTTTGCCTCACTTGTGACAGTTCGTTTGATATGAAACTATCATTCTATGCGTTATTATTCTAAGGTATAAACAATAATGGACAACTAATTAGAAACAACAACAAAAAAGTGTAAAAACACAACATTTTTTTAATTATTAGCAATTAGTATTTTTATTTACGAAATAGCTACTATCCACAGCCTACCAATATTTATAATAAATATTCAATAACAGCTTTGCAACGACGTGACATTGATTCAATCAATGTCATAAATTTTTCTAGGGGGATTGAATTCCATGCTTCAACAAATGCTTCATATAATTCGTTTTGACTGGTGTTACGTTTGTTTGAGACTTTCTTCTTAACAATATACCACAGATTTTGTATCGGGTTTAAATCCGGACTATTTGCTGGCCAGTCTAAAACGGATATACGCTGTTCGATAAGGAAACATTTGACGCTAGTGGCCGTGTGTTTAGGATCATTGTCATGCTGAAAGATCCAGGTTACAGGCAAATGATCGTCCGAGTAGGGAATCATTGTGTCCTCTAAGATATTTTTGTACTGCCATTGATCCATTGTACCTTCAATCTTCCGAACGGGACCAACTCCACATCCGGAAAAACACCCCCAAACTTTAATGTTTCCGCCACCGTGCTTGACTATGCTCCTTGTGTATTTATAATTAAAAGCACTGTTTACAGGACGTCTAACATAGCGCTTTCCATCTGAATTCACCATGTTTATTTTCGTTTCATCTGAAAATAAAACTTTTTTCCTGTCTCGTACCGTCCAATTAACATATTTTTTTGCGAATAATAATCGCTTCTCTCGATGTTGCTTGGTAAGAAGCGGTACCTTTCGAGAGGTTCTTCCAAACAATTTAGCTTCCACTAATCGTATCAGTCTTGATGAGATGTTTCTGGGGTCATCAGGCGAAAAAACTTCATTTTTAATCTGGTTTGAGCCTTGGGTCTTTTTTAGCAACACGAACGATTAGCTTATCTTCTCTGGGAGAGGTTTTTCTTGGCCGAGCCTTTCTAAGAACATTTTCAACAGTTCCATGTGTTTTATAGTGATTAATTGCATTAAAAACTTTCTTCACAGAACAATTTAAACGCTCAGCTATTCTTCTGTACGTCCACTTTTGATCTAAATGTAAATTAACAATTATTTGCCTAGTTGACGCGTCACAACTTTTATTTTTGCCCATTTTGAACAAAATTAAATTCAGATCAAATTTTGAATTGCCGCCAAATTAATACAAAACATCAAGAAAGAAATGTTATTCTTCAATTTCAAAAAAAGAACGAGCTATAGATGCTTTTTTCAAGTGTTTCTAATTAGATGTCCAAGCGGCCAGGAACAGAAAATATACTCGTACATTTTATAATTAAAAGTAAGATATGTTTTATTTTTTATGCATTTAATGATTTTTTTATTTGAGTGGCTATATTATTGCATGATTATGTATTATTGAATTTATATATTTTTCACGAACATTTGTACGTTGAAGTTAAACTTCCTTCAATCATAAGAAGTGTTTCTAATTAAACGACCACCACTGTATATATATATAATCTTTCGATTTTCCTGCAGCTTCAATCCAACCCTCTTTTATTTTAAACTCAATGGAAAAGCTTAAAAATACTCTACGTTTAATCTACGAGTATAATGGAATTTAAATATCTAAAACACATAAATTTTTCTTCAAGCAACAGCAACATCCAAATTGACATGAAATTGAAACGGTTGTCCGAAATATGAGTTGTGTTAAAATTACTCGAAATAAAATGTTTAGTAATAATAATAATAACAATAAAATAAAAGATTTATTTTTAAATTTAGATATATTAGAAATTTAACGTGAATGCTTTTCGCTTCGATATTTTAGGGACTTTAATTACAAAAATTATAGTAAGAAAGTCAAACATTTGAGTAAAAAATTATTATCGATAAACATCAGTCTTCGTAAATGAACATCACTATATTTGAGTCGAGAAATGTCTATGGAGACAAAAAGAAAACATTGAATAATAATAGAAATAGTAACTAAAAATGCAAATAGCCGGTGGAATGTTATCTCACTGGTTTATAATTTTTATTTTCACTCCAATTTTTACAAGGTGTATCGCTACAACTTGGCATTTTCACGTTTTACTAGAGATCTTGTCTAAACAACGATCGCCATGTCACTGTGGCGATGTTTGTGGGCGTGTCACCTCGATGGTCAAAATGACCGAACGAGCGACGGTAACCACGCCCCCATACCATATCTCCCCTTTTTTTCTATATCTATGGCTAAAACGAATTTAGCACTTACATTTTAAAGCGCAAAAGACAACATGTCCTGTCGCATCGCAACTCTAAAGCTAAAGGGATTTTAAAAAATCCGTAACGACATTAGTCGTCCATGTATAAATATCATCTGATTTTTGTCCTCATAACCTGTAGCATTTCGAGAATAAATCGAAAAAATTTGAAAACTAGAGGTCATTTCGTGATTTTTATCTATTGAGGAAACTATGTTTTATGTTTCTGATTAACGTCTGTGCTTGAATATATCGTGTAGTTACTTGTACAATATTTTACTTTTAACTTGAAAGTGGATTTACCCCTCTAAAATCAAAGACAATAACACATTGACCAATAGGTCAGTGCATCATATACATATAACATCTGATTTATACATGTCAACATAACATGTCCTTTGGTTTCCATAGTCTCAGGTTGGAAGAAATAATTATGCATCATATATTTTTTAAGAATTTATTACAAATTATATACTTCACAATCTTGACCACAATCGTCGCTGATGTCATAATACTACGTACGTTAAAATTAACTTTAGTAATCAAAAACAATTGGTTTTTTAGAAATTCGTAAAATTAAACACTTAATTGTGTTATTTGTTGTTTTGCACTTAACATCATATTTAGTGTCTCTGTCACTGTCCAAACCAGCCGTTTTCACTTGATTTCTTTGACATAAGCATCAAGTTCAGCATCTAGTTGTTCTGCTGTAGGCACAGGACGTTTGCCGCGTTTAGCGCCAGTAGCGGCGGCACCACGACCACGGCGAGGGGCTCCACGAGGTCCACCACCAACACCTTGACTCCGTACATTACCTTGAAATGTAAAATAAAATACAAAAATTCTGCAACTATATTTGATCTCCTCTTCTCAAGACAGATGCACTGAACTTAAGTTTGTATGAATTTTAACCAATATATAAAAACAGCCATTACAAACCTCTATTAGAATTTCGCCTAATTGGTCCACCTCCACCAAGCCTGCCCCCAGCATCACTTCTGAAAGAACTGATTTCAGATGTGGCTAACTGGATATTCATTGCACGTCCATCTAAAGGAACTCCGTTGTATTGCTTCATGGCCTTTAATGCATCTGCTCTCCTTTCAAACAACACATCAGCTGTCCCTGTTCAGGCAAAACCCATTATTAAATTCACAAACAAACCAGGTGTACAATGTGGTATAATAAATAGGATTTTTAAAGCTCACCAAGGGACCTGCCTGATCTGTCATAGTGTACAGCGGCACTTTTCAGAATGCCAAACTCGGAGAAAAGCTCTTGAATATCCGAATCAGACACCCCAAAGTCCAGATTAGACACCAACAGTTTGGTGGGGCCCATTGTTATTGGACCTTGTCTCTGAATCTTCCTGTCTCCAAAGTCACTGAACATGTCATGTTTCCAAGTGCTGTTAACATCACCCTGAAATAGGTCGTCCTTCATAGAGCATGCCACTTGGCTACCTGATGCCTCTGAGTTACATTTAATAGACTCAAGATACATGGCACATACAAATGACATAGTGAACATATTTTCTTTTTTAATAATTAATTAGTTACAAATGTTAACAAAACTACATCATAGACAAAAAGTGATCGGTACACAACAGCTATTATAAAGTAAATCATTGTCTGCAATTATTAATATTCTTTCACTGATCACACTGCACTGGTACTTTTGGAACACAATTGTCTTTGTATTCACAGTGATGAACACCAAATGCAACTCTTGTTCCGTCCGCATCAAGTTTAGCAGCAAGGCCCCAGCGTTCAAATGTAGCAGTTGCAGCACCTTCCAGGAACTAATTTTTGCAGTTTGACCCCTCAGCCTCGAAGAAATTAATTAGGACTGAACCACACTTTGCGAGCACAAAGTGTTTACTATTATGCAGCAACCTTCATCGTCCAGACCTCAGTGATGTTGCAATCGAAAATTACAACAAAATACGCAAACAACATGGTAAAATACATAACTCCCAATGTTAGTCCAACATGGACAAGAATAGAATAGTAGAACTTTACTGATACAAACATTAGATCCGGTGAGGTTCAAACTGCTGGTTGGTAACATTACCATTTCCGAACAGATAAACTACAACTCCTGCAAATTCCCCGCGGTGTCCCTCGCGAATAGGTACATTTTTGTGATGCGTCATTTCAACACGATCATTCGGCCGCCATTTGCAATTTCATAATCATCTAATTATTTGATTTACCCTGGAGTAGTTAGCAGGCTTGGATACTCCGCCACGACTTCTACCTCGCAATACGCCTCCAGCGCGGCCATTGCGAAATCCTGCACCACCTCCGCGGCCCGGTCTTCTGTTATCAAATTTTCTTCCAGCTCCTCCACCTCCTCTACCACCTTTTCTGGTTGCTTTTATAATATCGTCCAATGCCATATCGATCTTGTCAACCATGTTTGCTTGTTATTTAATTTATTTGATTATATTAATGTACAACACAAAATTAATCTTGGGAGCACACGCGCAGCGTCCACTGCTACGAAGTACGAGTCAACAGGAAAAGGAAATCACTTTTTTTGTTTCGAAAATTGTACTTAAATTACATGTATAAAAGAGAAATGTCATGTAAAACAAAAATAGAAGGTGATCAATTCGTGTTGCCCCATCTCATTTTATAAAAACTATAAACTTTTTTGACAGGCAAGAAAAGCACACTGGCTGGCACAAATAAAAAAAAATGGCGCGCTTTTTTTTATTAATAGTTTTGGCTTGGATACAAGTCCTTAGAGTCATGTCTTCGTTTAAATATCGGGATCCTCAGTAGTATTTGGGCATTTTCACTTTTTAGTGTACACCGGGTTTTGCACCGGTCCAACTTTTTCACAATTATTTTGTAACGTAGTTAAGGAACGATTGCATTATTTTTTGAATAAAATGGTGAAAAGAATGTTTTAAATTGACGAATTCATCGACGAATGAGACGAATTTGAGTGATTTTTGTAAAACCCTTTTTTTTTTGTTTTAAGGTCTTAAACGTACAAAATTTTTATGTGAATATTTAAGATATTGTATAGTATAGTATGAAATATTTAAGTGAAATACATAAAAAAAAACCCTTATATTTTAGGTCACACGAATGAGATTGCAGTAACACGAATGATTTTCTCATTAACGTAAATGAGAAAGGTGGCAAAGTAATGAGAAATTATTATTACAACACACATATTATTGTTCACAAAAGAACATTTAACATGTAACAAATATTTTAATATAACTTCTTGTATCAAAATCCTTCTCATCCGTGTAAAACCATGTATCTATCTTACATATAGATTAATAAATAAATCTAAATAAGTATTTTGTTAATGTCATATAAGCTTTGTTGTACATCAATATATCATCATTACCACCATCACCATCATCATCATGATCACCATTATCATCAGCATCATTACCATTCACATCATCATCACTGTAGCGGACTGTATCAAATGGGTTAAAGGATGGGTGCTAACAACCAGTGAGCAAGGCCAAGCAAATGACTGGCCTGAAAACGACCTTATTACGTGGATGAGCACGAGACAACAAAGTGTAGCCATTTCGACTACAGAGGCGGAGATTGTAGCTGCTAGCGAAGGTGCAAGGGAGTGTGTCCGGCTAGCTCGGGTTATGGCAAGTCTAATTGGAGTGAAAGCTAAACCAACTTTGCAAGTTGATAACCAGGCAGCAATAAGACTAACGGAAAACTCGGAATTTCATCGGCATATCCAAATACGTAATTTTTTTTATCAGAGAACGGGTAAATAAGAGAGAGATTACATTAAAGAAGGTGTCAAGTGAAGGACAACTGGCAGATATTTTTACCAAAACTCTACCGGCTAAAGAAATTAGTCTGTCGATTGGGTATTCATTGAGAGAAAATGTTAGAGTTTGAGTATGATGTTCAATGAAACTCAATGCTCATAAAGAAGAAATATGTTTAAAAGTCATGTTTAAGTATAGCTTGTGAAAAAAATGTCGGAAAAATAAAAAGAGATATAGCGAAATTGGGTACCTATATTATATACTAAATCTATGAGCGAAATGTATTCACAATTTTATTTATAAATATAGGAAATGAAACTATTTTTCCGGATTTAAAT